GAACAATACTTTTGGGTTTCTTTCTGATTTCATGTTTATGGCTTTTAGGTTCTTCTTCCCGCGATTCCTGACTCCTAAAGGATTCCTTTCTTTTTAGCTTAAAGTTCGATGCTTCGAGCGTATTTCTCTGACCAGTGGTCCTCCCTATACCATTTCAGATAGATTGACCTCTTTAGCCGTTCTGTTATCTTTTCCGCTCGCCTGTAAAGGGAGCGGCCGGTCTCTTTCTATTTGTAAATCATGAAAGTAGGTCTCCGTCCAAAGGTTGGACAAGTCTAATTGGCAGAATTCCTTGTATCAAGTTCCCATGGATGTTGCATTGTCTGAGGAACTGCGCAACACACACACACAGCGACACAATGACACACACACACACACACACATCACATAGTATATATATATAGTATATATATATATATATATTATATATATATATATATATTATATATTATATATATATAGGATTTATATATATATTTATATATGATAGTAATTTCAACCAAACCCGGCCGTTTCCCACAAAAGTTGTCCCCCCAGCAGGGAGGTCCAAAAGAAAAACAGATAATGTTTATCGGTTTTTAAAAATTAGTAATATATACCACTGAAAAAGGTGTTACTAGCCACTTTGCTTCCCAGGCATTTAGTCGTCTCTTCACAACACGCATGGCTTATGGGAAAAGGGGGGGGGGGGGGTTATCGGGGTTTCACTTCCCCATGGAATAAGAGGAGAAAAACAAAAAACAAGAACTAGAAAGAAAATAGAAGAAAACCGCCAGAAGGGGTTGTATATTATATGCTTGAACATGTATGGTAGTGGACCTAGTGTAAGTAGAAGTAGCAATATGTACCTGAAACTCTTACATGTTATGAGACAAAAAAAGACACCAAGCAATCTACCATCAGATGATAAAATTACAGGATTTCGTTTTAACACTCACATGGCAGACGTAGTACCAACCCTGGGTTGATGATGTCTAACAACCTACTACCTATGGTACCTATTTATTAATATATATATAGATATTAGATATATATATATTATATATATATATTATATATAAATTATAGGTATACCATATTTGTACACAACATTGTCTCTACGTCACATCAGGACTCGAACTCTGTTAACTATGATCAGAGTCACTTTCTTTTACCGACGAGGCTGATACAGTTAGCAGGGTTCGAGTCCTGTGGACCCACAGATATAATGTTTATAATATAGTATACATATATATATATATATATAGATATATATATATATATATATATATATATAATATATATATAGATATATATATATTGTATATATATAATATAATAATATAATATATATATATATATATATATTATACATATATGTTGCTTAGGTTTCTTATACACACACACACACATCACACTACATATATATATATATATTTATATATTATATATATTAAATATATATATATATATATATATATATATATTATGTGACCCGCACGAACGAGTGGTATTGACATCAAATAACATCACTGCACAAAGCAAGGACTCGAACCTATGTAAATATATATATAATATATATATATAGACTAAATATATATATATATATAATATTATATTATATATATAATATTAAAGATATAATATACAACACATATATAAATAATATATATATATTATACCATATATATATATATATATATATAATAACCACCACATACACACACACATATATACTATAGTATATATAGTATATATATAATATATATATACACTCATACTAGATATGAGTAAAAATGGACGATAAAGGCCTCTTGGAGTCAGGAGGAGATGAGGATTGGCCTAGTAGCGACTAACTAGGCGAAGAAGGCTGGGCCAGGGAGCTATGACTTGACCCGTTGCCAACCACATAAGTAGGGGCCTGTTTGAACCCATACTGGGGCAGGTCACTTAACAATACTTTGCTCCAACCCATTTTCAATGCTTCCCAAGCTTTGATAAAAATAGGCGAGTACACACATACACTCACACACCGTTACACTAACATTTCCGCCTCAACACCGCACTGTACAGAGCAACAGGAGTGCACGTGTTTTAATCGTGTAGAGGAGACCCAGACGTGTGAGGCCAGCAAGACTGACACATGTTAGGCCTCCACACATCCACACAAAGTATACTTCTCTCTCTCATACGCCATCACAGAAGAGCCTGATAATATGATGTACACATTAAGTCAATTACAATAAAACATGTCTTCACATGTATATTAGACATGATAAAGCCTAGTGTCAGCAACTTTGATAAATATGTGACTGATACAACTAGCACGGTGGACTCATCAGCCCTCCACTACTCATGCTTGTGCTACCTTACAGGTTTAGCGCTTCTTTGTACCAATGTTACTACCATACTTACGTTAATACCATTAGCATGTACTAATAGGCATCGTAGCTGAGCAATATAGTGTTCAGCTCAAAACCGAAAGGACCCGGGTTCATTCCCGAGCTTTGCGTGATTATTAGGAAAATCTAAAGCTGCCTTCCCTTTTGTTCCACTCATCCACAACTCTTATTACCAAAAACATTGCTTTCCTGTATCTTTTCTAAATCTAAATTCGTCGAACTTAAACCCATTGCTACGAGTCCTATCATGGTTATATATTTTCAGCACGTTATTTATATCCCCTTTATTTGTTCCTGCTTCCATTTATACTCTTCAGTCATGTCCTCCCTAATTCGACGCCTCTTCAGAGAGTGCAGATTTAGTGCCTTTAGTCTATCCTCGTAGGAAAGATTTCTGATATATGGGATCAACTCGGTCATCCTTCTCTTTGTTTTCCAGCGCAAATATGTCCATTCATATATGCAGCATAATCTGATGCCATTTATAAGAACATAAGAAAGAAGGAATACTGCAGCAGGCCTACTGGTCCATGCGAGGCAGGTCCAAGTTTCCCACCGACTTATGCCACTGGCCCAACCTAGTCAAGTCCAGGTCACATCCACTTAAGGAAGGAGCACGGCATCAGACCTACTAGTCAATAAGAACAAGTTAGGTTACCTGGAGGGTGTTCCAGGGGTCAACGTCCCCGCGGCCAGGTCCATGACCAGGCTTTCTTAGATTATCCTGAATTACTAACCTTCATCTATTATCATGGTCTTTGTTTTTAACATATATCTGAATATATAACTGTATATTGTATTTGAACGTTATATTATATAATAAGTTATGGTATAAACCTTGGTAATAAATACCGACAAGTTGGTTTAGAAAGACACGTAAGCAAACACTATGATATTTATTAGAAAATATTTCGGTCCTGTGACCTTGATCACTTCTAACATACATAATAAGTTATATATGTGCCGGTGAAGAATTAGACACATGTGCAACATCTGGGTATCTTTATTGTAGATGTCTTGCCAACCAGACTTTATCAATACAAGTACATTATGTGAAGAATTATATGCAAAAGATGAGGCTGAAGGACTGATTATCTCATCTTTTGTATAAAATTCTTCACATTATGTCCTTGTATTGATAGAGCCAATGGCTGGCGAAACGTCTACAAATACAGATACCCAGATGTTGCATATGTGTGTTCATCTTGTAGGTATTGTATACCACTTATAATATCTTTATTTACTACAAGTACATGTACATGGTATACAGTCCTAGCTGACATCAATGACATACTACATACTACTATACAGAAAGTCCCTTGTTATGCAGAGCATTTCCGGCAAATTAGGTCAATTTTGTCCTAGGATGCGACCCACACCAGTCCACTAACACCCAGGTGCCCATTTTAAACTGATGGGTGAACAGGGACAGCAGGTTTCTTATGGAAAGACGTCCCTAATGTTTTCCAGCCGTGCCGGTTTCCAGCCGTGCCGATGTCTGGAAAAGCTTGGAGGTGCCTAGTTTGGGCTGGTAGGTTTTTACAGTGGTTCTCCAGTCTTATGTTCGTACAGTATAAGTTAGGTTATATGCTGACCAGTCAGTTGCGGGTAGGCTGGATTCCTCACATTCCAAAGAGACTATGACTCTTTGTATGAGAGATGAGTGTGGGGAGACAGAAATTTGTATAAGCAGTGAGACAGATCTATGAGAGATGAGTGTGGGAAGGAGGAGCTTTGTATTAGCATACATGTATCTATAGCAGTGAGACATCTGTGAGAGATGGATGTGGAGACAGAACTTTTTATTAACAGTGAGACAGATCAATGAAATATGAATGTAGGGAGACTGGACTTTGTATTAGCAGTGAGACAGGTCTATGAGAGGTGTGTAGATAGAGGGCGTAATGTTAACAATGAAACAGATGAATGGTTCATAGAACCGACACGTTGATAAATTAGACATTGAGATAAAGATACCCAAGAGTTGCACACATGTTTAATTTATCAACAATGAAACAGACGGGAGTGTGGGGATGCATGACCCTGGTGCTAGCACTCAGACAGGTCTCAGCTTGTGCTGACACCTCCTGGCCCATCCTCTGCTTTTGTAACAGCAAACGCAACATTGCCACATATCTGCAGCTGTATATGCTATTAAATTCAAGGCATTTTTTTTAAATTCATTTGCCTCCTGCCTCCACGACAGAGAATAACACTAACATAAGCAGTATACAATGAATGGACACAGGGGCCCTACATAGAGGCTACTCGTATAATTATTCCTTATCTTGACGGCAGATTTTAGAATATTTTCCCTTCTGAAATTAAAAATAACGTGCTTATATGTAAGCCATATGTATGTTCATCGGGTATATGCAGAAATAAATAATCAAAATCATTATAGAAAAATGCGTTGGTGAAAAAAATTGTATCCCTCCCTTTAGATGTCAGCGAGTACCAACATCACCCTCTTATTTACTCTGGTTAAATTCAGTTTATAAAGACTTTAATTCGTAGAAACGTAGTTAGAATATCCCTTTTAGTAGTAAGTATTTCTGAAAGTGGGTACAAGGAGATTAAGCAAGAGAAATAAGAATATATTGAGGAGAGTGTTGGCAGACGTGGTAGTACACGTTGGCAGACCTGGTAAAACACACGTTAGATCAGGAAGAAACTCAGCTTCACTACGTCACTAACTTTACTCACTGTACAACTTCCTCAGGACCTGTGTCTTTCATCATTACAAGTGTTTCAACATGTAATATTAGCAGCAGCAGCAGCAGTGGCAGCGGCTTCATAGCCAGGAGGTGAGTGTTCCCCGCACTTGTGAAGAGTAAGCTGCTCCAGCTCGCAGCCATCACTCAACATTATTCTTAAAATATTATATTTTCCGTCACTATGGGAATTTGTAGGCGAGTGTTAGGAGGTGAGATATTGTTTTGTGCTGCAGTTTTTGTAACGTTTTAAAGATATGTTAGTATACAGGCTTCATTTTTTGGTCATCAGGAAATGTGCTGTCGAAGGTATATATATATATATCTTAATTTTTTTTGAATTTTGAATTTCGTATTTTGAATTTTGAATGGTTATTAGTGAAATAAGAAATTATATTTTTCGATGAATAGAAACTCCTTATACCACGAGTATAAATAGTTTTTTAGTAGACATTATTATTATTATTATTATTATTATTATTATTATTATTATTATTATTATTATTATAAACAAGCGCTAAACCACAAGGGTCATACAGCGCATTTTAGTAGATTATTTTTTTTTTTGGGTCAGTAGTGGCAGGTGAGGACCAATCAAGTCTCAGTTTTGTGACCTGACCCGTCACAAGGTCAATAAATAGTTGAGCAGGGTTAAGGTAGGTTAGATTATGTTGGGTTAGGTGGAGTTGCCAAAGTTTCTTACCATAAGTAAGTTTATTTAGTCACAGGTGAACATAAGTACAATTATCATAGTGTAAATTACCAAGGATAATCCAAAAAAGTGACTTATTTCCATTGGGATCCTGCCAAGCATAGGCCAGTAGGCCTGCAGTGCTCCTTATGTTCTTACAGTATAACGTGACTCCAGATACAGTATAGTATCTGGAGTTTACCCCAGGAGAGTTTTTGGAGTCAGCGCCCCCATGGCATTTCTCTATGCTGTTCACATATTGTAGTTAACCTATAATTAAACACGGGTAGGCACAAGAGAAAGTCACTAATGTAGACAAATGCAAAGTTCTAAATGTTGGACAGGAAAATAACCATGCCACATATAAACTAAATAATGTAGATCTTAATATTACGGATTGCGAAAAAGATTTAGGAGTTCTGGTTAGCAGTAATCTGAAACCAAGACAACAGTGCATAAGTGTTCGCAATAAAGCTAATAGAATCTTTGGTTTCCCATACCCAAGAAGCAAAATAATAGAGTCCTCGGGTTGTTCTTCAACTCAAAAACCTTGGTTGGGGCCTCATATAGTTTAAATGCTGCACTTTTTGGGTCACCGATTACAAAATTGGGAATATAAATGCTTTTGGAAAATGTAAAAGGAGGATACAAATTTTGGCCCCAAATGTATCAGAAAACCTTCCCAAATAAAGGTAATTTAAGGGCCCAAAACTGCACCCCTCTAAAAAAGACGTAAAAATTTTAGGGGGGATTTTATTGAGGAGAAATAAAGGAAAAAGAAAAGGAATAAAAAAAAGGGGGGATGTAAAAAACGTGCGAAAATATCAGCCAGAAAGGACTCGAAGAAAGGGGGTTTTTAAGTTGAAAAATTCAAAATTTGGGGAAAGGGATATGGGAAACTTTGGGTTTTGGTAATAGAGTTGTGGATTAAAAACAAACTCCTAAGTACAGTTATAGAGGTTTAAAAACTTTTTGTGTAGGTGGGTGTGTTTTGGGCCCTTTGATTAACTGTCCCTACTAGGCCCCGGTTGCTGTGCTCCTTCCTTAAGTAAAAGTGACCGACCTGACTGGTTGGGGGCTTTGGGTTTAAAAGCCGTGGGAGACTTGGACCTGCCTCGTATGGGCCGGTAGGCCCTTGCAGTGTTCCTTCTTTTTTTTAAGGGTTCTTAAATCCCCCCTATGGGGATAGCCCGGGGGCCCTTAATCTGCGCTTTAGAAAGAGGGTTGAATTAGGGAGGATATGTTTGAGGTGAAATAAATGGAAAAGAGGAATAAAAAAAGGGGGAATGAAAAATAACGTGCTAAAAAATCCCCCCAAAGACAGGACTTCCCGTTTGGGTTTTTTCGTTGAAAAAAAAATCATTTTTCGGGAAAGGGTATGGAAAGCACTGGTTTGGAAATAGAGTTGGGGGATGAGGAACAAACTTTCCCAATTTCCCAAATCATAGAAGCTAAAATGTTTTTGTAGTTTAAAAATAAAGTTAAAAAAAATAAATGATTTGGGGCGTGGGGGGGTGTGATTTGGGAAACCGACTACTTTGGGCTTGTAGTCTGATACCATGCCCCTTTCCCTTAAGGGGGGAATGCAAACTTGGAGCTGACTGGGTTTGGGGGTGAGGGCATAATCTGGTAGGCAACTTAGACCTACCTCCCAGGGCCCATGGGCCTGCTGAAAGTACCATTATTTATTTTTTTTTTTTGTGTGATATACAGGGGTTAAAACCCCCACTTAAATTTTAAACTTTTTTTAAAATTTATTTTTTTAACCAAAATCTCCCAAAGAAGCTTTAAATTTAATTATTCCCAAAATTTTGAATTTTGAGTAAACTTTTTATTTCTTTGGGGGCAAGGGGGGGGGGGGAAATTCTATATCATTTCCCTTATAAAACTTAAAAATTTTTTTCAATTTGTTTTTTTGAGAAAGTCAAAAAAAAAAGGGTTGGTGGGTAGCAGGGTATGTCAGAGAAAATTTTTAAAATTGTTGTGTTGGGACAAGATATTAAAATTTAAACGTCCCGCCACTGAATCTGTTTGGTTACAGCTTCTGAGGGGCCCAGAAAAACTAATTTTGGGGGTTTTTTAAAAAGGGGCCCCCAAAATTGATAGGGGGTGCAGGAAACTTCTATGGGGCAAAATTTGTAAGGCATCTACAAAACGAAAATGTTGTGCTAATGGGAGATTTTAAAATATAACAGATTACGGAAACAATTTGAAAAGGAAAATTTTTAACCCGGGGGACTTTTTTTGATAAAGAACCCGGATTGTTTTTTTAAAACAGTTTGTGACAGAGCCAACTAGGGGGAAAAAACCTTCCCCTTTAAATGGTTCTTGGGCCCGTAGGGAAACACTAATTAATAAAACTTTAGGGTTTAATTTTGAAACTTGGGGGGAGTGATCACAAAAACACTCAGTTTTTAAAATAAACATGGGGAAATTTCCCCTTTAAAAATGGCAATCAAAAACCCCCGTCCCCGACTTTTTTGCTTTGGGTGATTTCTAGGACTTTAAAAAAAATTTCTTTTGGTGGCTGAAACTGGAAAAACCTTTACTAGGGGTCGGTTGGTGATGGTTTCCGATATGAAAAGCCCCCCCGGGGATAGTTTTTAAACTGCTCAGTCAAAATTTTGTTCCAAAAAGGGGAAAAAAAATCAAAAAAAAATGACCAAAAAGGTGAACAATAGATTAAAATATCTGAAAAGGGGCAAAAAGAAAACATATATAGGCAATCAAAAAAGGGGAGGGGGAATTAAGAAAAACGATAATATTTTTTTAAATTTTAAAGAAGAAAAAAAAAGGGGAAATTTGAAAAAGCCCAAAAAGAGATTTATGAGGGTTTAAAATTGCAAAAAGAATCGAAGAAATAACCCAAAAGGATTCTTTCAGGGTAAAACAGGGAAATAAGACAGGGCAAATAGGCCCAATCAAAAATCCTCGGGGCAAATCACTGACAGTGATAAAAAAATGGTGAAATTTTTTAAAAACATACTTCCTCTCCCTTTTTAAAACAGGAAAGGGTCCCCCGATATTCCCCGTAATGAAAAAATTTTTAGAAAAAGGACGATAATAAACCCGTGCACAAATTTGGGTCACAAGTGACATGGTCCCCCTTTGGCAAATAATAAATTTAAAAACCCAACCCAAAACCCCCGGCCCGATGAACGAGCAAGGGTTTCAAAGGAAAGTAAAAAAGGAGCTAGCACCCCTTTGGTTTAAACTTTTCAACATATCCCTTTCAAACTGCATGGTGGGCCCGATAAGTTTGGGAAAAATGGCAAAAATTTATACCTTTTTTTCAAAACAGGGGGACAGGTCCTTAGCTTTTGAACTAAAGACCAAAAAGCCTAACCTCCAAATGGGAAAATTTTTTTGGATCATAATTGCCGAGGCAGTTTTGTAGCCACCCTTTAAAAGCATAAAATTTAAACAACGAATCCAGCATTGGGTTTTTTAAAGGGGGGTTTTCCCGCCTTACGAATTTATTAACTTTTTTTTACTAAGGTATTTTTTAGGGGGGTAGATCATGGTAATGAATATGGAAAAATTTGTATTTTGGACCTTTAGTAAGGGTTTTGGGCAGGGTCCCCCCCAAAAAAGACTATTGAGGAAATTAAAAAACACATGGAATAGGGGAGAAATTTTTTCCTTTATAGAGGCATGGTTGAAAAAAATAGGAGCCAGGATTTTCATAAATGGGGAGAAAACAGAGTGGGGAACGTCACGAGCGGGGTTCCCCCCAGGGGTCAGTTTGGGCCCCCCCGCTGTTTACAAACTACCCTAAAAAACATAGAGGGGCAAAAGACGACATCCGCAAAATTTTTCCCCATGACACCAAAAAAGGGCCCTCCCAATTCATTCCCGACAGGACATTCGGCACTCCGGGGAAAATTTTAATAGCTGATGCAAATGGGCGGAAAAGGGGCAGATGCAATTTAATATAGACAAATGCAAAGTTCTAAAATGTTGGACAGGGCAATAACCAAAGCCCCATATAAACTAAATAATGTAGATCTTAAATTTTAAAGGATTTTCGAAAAAGATTTAGGATTTTTGGTTAGCAGTAATCTGAAACCAAGAAACAAATGCATAAAGGGTTTGCAAAAAAAGCTAAAGAATCCTTGGGCTTCCCCTAACAAAAGCATAAATAAAAAAGGAGTCCTCAGGTTTTTCTTCAAATCAAAACATCCCCTTGGGTTTGGCCTCCAAAATTTGATTAAAAGCTGCCATTTTTTGGCACCGTATTACAGAATGGGTAAAAATTCTTGGAAAAAAGTTCAAAGGAGGGTACAAAGATGATCCCTGTATCAGAAACCTTCCCCAGGGGGATAGACTAAGGGGCCCCGAAACTGCACCCTCTAGAAAGGGCGTAGAATTAGGGGGGAAAAGATTTAGGGTTTTAAATTTG